ACACAATTATATCCAGCGTCTACGCAAGAATGATGGGACTTGGAGTGATGGTCCTTCTGATATGGAGCGCATGGCATGCTCGTATTTTAAGGAAGTTTACACTAAGGATCCAACTTTAAATCCTCAGGTGTTATTGGACAGTATTACTCCCAAGGTGACCGAGGAGATGAATACTGCCTTGTGTGCTCCTTTTTCTGAAAAGGAGGTCTCTAATGACATTTCAAATAGGTCCTCTTAAGGCATCAGGTACGGACGGGTTCCCTGCACGGTTTTATCAGCGCAACTGGGCAGTCCTTAAATCTGAAATTATTGCCGCTGTTTTGGATTTTTTTGTGACTGGAATTATGCCGGAGGGCGTAAATGACACCGCTATTGTCTTAATCCCAAAGGTTCCACACCCCAAGGAACTTAAGGATTTTAGACCAATAAGTCTTTGCAACGTGGTTTATAAGATTGTGTCGAAGTGCATGGTGAACTGATTACGACCCTTTCTTGTGGAGCTTATTTCAGAAAATTAAAGTGCCTTTGTTACAGGGCGTCTTATCTCCGATAATTCTATTATTGCTTTCGAGTGCATCGATTTTATTCAGTCTCTAAAGAATAATGATCCTGCTTATTGTGCATACAAGTTAGACTTATCAAAAGCTTATGATCGTGTTGATTGGGATTTTTTGGAAAAAGCCTTAGCCAAGTGGGGTTTCTCTGCATCATGGATTACGCGTATAATGGCTTGTGTCACATCGGTGAAATATTCGGTCAAGTTTAATGGGAAGTTATTGGAGTCCTTCAGACAGACTCGTGGGCTCCGTCAAGGTGATCCTCTATCTGCCCTAATCACCAGAGCAAAACTGGAGGGTGGGTTCGAAGGAATCCAGATCTGTCGAAGGGCGCCGGTTATTTCACATTTGTTGTTTGCAGATGATTCCTTGTTATTCTTTAAGGCTTCCGTACAACAGGCAACGATTGTCAAAGGTTTGTTGAGCACTTATGCAGCTTCTACTGGACAACTTATTAATCCATCGAAGTGTTCCATCCTGTTTTCTGATAGTTGTGCACCGACGGTCACAGAGGAAGTAAAGAGATTGTTGGAAATAACGACAGAAGTATTTGAGCCAAAATATCTAAGCTTGCCGGTTCCAGAAGGAAGAATGCATAAAGGGAGATTTGAGACACTTCAGTCTAATATGAGGAAGATGTTGGTGGATTGGAGTGAACAATATATGTCTTCTGGTAATAAGGAGATTTTGATTAAGTCAGTGGCGCAAGCTATACCCAGTTATGTCATGAGTGTTTTTCGATTACCGGCGTCAGTATGTGACGAGCTAACCCGACTGATGCGTCAATATTGGTGGGGTGTTGAGAATGGCAAGAAGAAGATGTCGTGGTTAAAGTGGGACAAAATGACTCTGCCGAAATCAAAAGGCGGCATGGGATTCAGAGACATGAGAGCATTTAACCAAGCTATGTTGGCTAAACAGGCTTGGCGTTTAATTGATTCCCCTGATAGTTTGTGTGCCCGCCTTCTAAAGGCCAAGTATTATCCGAACGGTAATATTCTTGATATTGTGTTTCCGGTGAACTCATCGGCATCGGCAGTATGGAAAGGTATTGTTTATGGCCTGGATCTGGTTAAGAAGGGTATTATATGGAGAGCGGGTGACGGTGCTGCGGTTAAAGCATGGCGTGATCCATGGGTTCCGTGTGGCCATGATTACCGGCCGGTTACGCCTAAGAGAAACTGTAGGTTTAATCGTGTTTCTGATTTTCTTGATAATAATGGTGCATGGAATATGGAGCGACTTGAGGAGCATTTTTGGCCTATGGACATACATCATATTTTGAAAATTCGGACTTCACCTAGGAATCGTCATGATTTCCTTGCCTGGGCCCCTAAAAAGAATGGGAGATTTAGTGTGAAGAGTGCTTACCGGCTGGCTACACATGAACACGAGGATAATTTTGCAAGTGGTGCTTCCAGTACCTGCCCGGGTAGTGAGCGTTCTCTATGGGCATGTATCTGGCGAGCGAAAGTTCCGCTCAAGATGCGGGTCACTGCCTGGAAGGTTACGGTTGGGGCCTTAGCAACAAATGAATGCAAAGTGACTAGACATCTCTCAAATCGTGGAACATGTCCTGTGTGTGGCCTTAAGGTGGAGAGTTCCTTCCATGCTTTAATTACATGCGGCCATGCAAGGGCCCTTTGGGAGGCTATGCGTGAGTTCTGGCCGCTACCGGCGACAGACCAACTGATAGACAATGGTGAGGAGTGGTTGTTACATGTTTTATCTGGATGTTCTTATCAAGTTTGTGACATGGTTATTTTGCTTATTTGGCGTATTTGGAGTCTCAGGTCAGATATAGCACATGGCAAGATAGTTCCTCTGTTGGAAATAAGTGTGTTATCTGAAGTCCTTAGATCTTGCTCGGAGATATAGCACTGAAGAAATTATCAAAGGTAAAATGACCCTATTGGAGGTCCGGACTCCGGAACCTATGGGTAGCGGCCAGTGTGTGCCATGGCCTCCTCCTCCAGTGGGCCAGGCGGCGCTCTCGGTGGATGGTTCCTTTTCTGTTCATGATGGCTCGGCTGCGACTGGTATGGTGCTACGACGTCATGACGGTTTGGTCATCTTTGCTGCTTATAGAGTTTTATTCAGATGCAATGATGCTCTTGAAGCTGAGATCCATGCGCTTATGCAAGGCATGACTTTAGCTCTCCAACACACAAAACTGCAAGTGATCGTCCAGTCAGATTCAATTGAGGCTCTGTCCATCTTATCAAATGAAAATCTCTCACGTTCAGCTTATGTGCACTTGGTAACTGAGATGAAGGCCCCGATGGAGGAGAGGGAGTTTATTCCCCAGAAGATTTATAGGGGTCAAAATAGGATAGCAGATTGTCTGGCTAATTACAGTCGTACAGAATCGTGTACTGCTGTTTGGCTTTAGAGAGGCCCTCCATGTATCGAGGATCTCTTGCCAGTAGATTGTAATCCTATAATTTTGGAATAAAACTCCTCTTTGCCGCCAAAAAAAAGAACAGGGTTTGACCAATGAACAGTAAATTAAAAAAATAGAAAACAAAAATTCAAAAAAATCTGAAATTTCATGACAACCAACATGGTTGGGTGCACTAGGTGCGCGTAAATTGTTGTTGTCAAATAACATCCGAGGAGTTCTAGCCAAACACACAAATTTTGGCTTTTTTGTGTGCCAAAATTTATTTTTTTTGCCTTGAGCTACTCGAAGTCGAAACACCACATCAATTTTCACGCACCTATAGCACGCAAACTTCTTTGTTGCCACACAATTTCAGTTTTTTTGTATTTTTTTGTTTTTTTAATTTATTATTTATCAGTCAAACATGGTCAACGTGCTTAAAATCTGGTTTTGGACCAACCTTATTCTGTTTTGAGACTTGAAGAACCAAATATATATATTTCATTGATCAAGACATAGCCAAGTCTTAGTCAACTGAGATTTAGCAACACTATTTATATATTTCATTCAAAAAATAGGACATGGTTTCTCCGGATCGTCGTACGTGTGCGAGACACTTGACGTAGCACATGAGATTTGCTACACCTACGAAGGCTTACGTGCGAAGAAGGCTTACGAGGTGAGATGACAATGTTTAACTGGGTGAAAATCAGGGGGTCGGGTTTGGCCAACGACGATCACTCACAGACAGCCGAGACGGAGCGGCCTCAGACTTGGTTTCTGCATACAAACTAGGACATGTTGCGACTTGCGACTGTTGGAATTTGATCTCAGGTCATAACTGACCGAGAGAAAAGGGAAATCTCTTCTCCCACGTTTGTGCTACGATCGAAGGTACACGAAAAAAGGTAACTTTTGTTTTTAGTCTATGTTTCCTTAACACCAAGTACAAAAAGAGGAGGTGAGGCCCCTTGGGCAATAACACACACGCATACATGTGATGAACCCCAACAAACTCCTAACAGCCGATTCTAAAAGGGTGTCCAAGGGGATCAGAAGGCCATCTCCACCGCGGGCCACCGCAGGGGCTGTGCCGGCGGCTTAGTGCTGCCCTAGGCGTCTCCCTGCTCTTGCTTTTCTTCCACGAGAATCTCTTTTTGCTGGAGATCACAAGGTGCAGCCATGGGCACCTGTAAGTTTGTACGCTTCCGCTTCCGCATAACGTTGGTGTTCTAGTCCGAGATTAGGCCCAACGTTCATTAGCCTGATGTTAATTAAATCAAACAGCGACAACGACAGACCATATGTACGTGTGTGTATCCGAGAAATTTGTCCATGCCAGAGCCAGACCATGCGTTCGCACGTTACTGGAACGAATGGACAGTAGTCGACGGGAGCCTTGAGCACGATCCAGGAGTAGTAGTAGTACGAACGATATTCTTCGGGAGCAAGACTTGACTCCTGACTCTTGACTCTTGATCCTTGACCTGCGAAGTGGGTGCTTCCCCAAACCAAACCAGAGCTCGATCCACACCAACCGCACACAGACACAAGCGCAACGGAATACGTCACTGGCCGGTTGGTGGACCCTTCTTCTTCTCGGCTTCCTCCATTTTTTAACCGATGACACCGTGAGTGAGTGAGCTGCTAGCTTCCGTGCCGTTTCGCGGAGCGGTCCGGATGAAGCCAGGGCAGCGCACACGGCCCGTCAATCTAACCAACCGCGTCCCCGCTCCTCCTATAGCCCAAGCCCAGTGAAGCGATAGAGACGGCCGAGTCGCCCGCCGGCAAGATCGCGATGTCAGCCCCGACGTGGGGCACAGGTGAGCTCGCGACCGTGCTGATCTACGACGAGTACTCGTCTTACCGCCCCTCCACACTCCACTATATAAACACCAACCATGCACACACCCGATAGACACCAATCCACAGCTTTGGCTTTCCTCTGAATCCCATCCAATCCTTCTGCCACGATCCAGCAAACTTCAACTTCTCAGGATCTCACTTCTCACTAGTTGCTTAGTTAGTCCTCCCATCACAGATTCACCGTTCGTCCGTCCATGACCAAGCACCAGAGAGCAGCAGCGGACCAGGCCGTGTCCCTCTCCCTCTCGCTCTCCCTCGGCGCCGTCGCCGGCCTCAACAAGAAGATGCGCCGCGCCGCCGCCGCAGCCGGTGGGGATCAGTTCCTGTGCAAGACGTGCGGCCGCTCGTTCCCGTCGTTCCAGGCGCTCGGCGGCCACCGGACCAGCCACCTGCGGGACCGCCACGGGCTCACGCTCGCCCTCACCGCCGGCGATCACTACTACTCCGTCAAGCCCAAGAGTACGGATCAGAAGCCTGAGCACCGGTGCCACATCTGCGGCCAAGGGTTCGAGATGGGGCAGGCGCTTGGCGGCCACATGCGCCGGCACCGTGAGGAGGCGGCGCCCGTCCTGCTCGAGCTGTTTGTCTAGCCTGATTTCAGTAGTTCTAGAGCAGAGTTAAGTTCCCGGTATGCGTATGCGTGCGCACTCGTAGTCGTAGTAGAATTGGTTCATTCCTTCTTATACGTGTACATATAGAATTGCAGCTTCTTCGGAGATTATATACATGGATTCGTTCGTTTATGTTATTTCAAAATGAACTATTCCTCAGTTGACTCAATCATAATCCAGCCCGGTATATGCTCTTACGGTGCTGAAACGGGGTGCACTATGAATGAATCGTGCTGGCGTGGTGTGGAATGATCTATTCATGAGAAGGATATAAACTTCCGGACGAATAAATCTGCCTCAACTTTACTCCCACACCGGTGGTGCCCTTCATGGCGGCTCCTCGGAGTTGATGGCACCTTGTGTTTGCCGATCCTTTAGATCGTCGGTGTTAGGGTTCATGGATGGTGTCGGCGAGGCGGCAGCGGCGACTTCATCATGTGTCTCTCCTTCTGCTCCGTTTCCGTTGCCGTGGCTTTTTCTCCGGCGTCATGGTGGAGCAGGAGGGGTTTTGTCATCTAGAAGTACGCGCAGACGGTTGTCTATGCAAGTGACAGCTAGAAGATGGTGCATCTTGTGCTGAGTCTGTGGTTGAAGGTTGACTGTTCTGGTTTCCTGCTTCGATGTCGTAGTCGTGCGGGGTGTCAGTTCTGAAGTTCGATCGTGTGTCCGGGGACACGTTGCCCCGGTCTAATTCTTTCAATGGTAATGGTTTTACTTCAGGCAAATTACTTTGGAGGTCCGTAAAGCTGTTGATCAGCGATGGAGCCGCGTCGAGTTCGGGTTAAGAGGTGATTTGTCTTCTTTTTCTTAGTGTAGAGGGACAAGTGTTGGTTTTTGCATAGGATTATCCTATCTTTTCAGTCCTGTAATGTCGATGTTTACGTGGCTTGTAAATGAATCTTTATTTTATTAATGAGACACATATTACCACGTAAAAAATACGGCAACTCATACTCATACATAAACATTCATCTCACAAAGTGCGTGCATTTGATAATACATTGACACAATTTCAACAATTCATAGTGAACATTTACAACATAGTTCTAAAATAATAAAAAATTGCATTGAGCCATGAAAAAAAAACCATAAACCTTGGTGGTTATTTCATCGTCGCACTCTAATAGATGTAGTCTGACCATAATGTTTTCAGACTAAGCTGGACCGAGACTAAGGTACCTTCTCAGGCATGGCATCTTAGGTTAGATAGCTCACCACTCATGCCGACTGGTAATCCTACTTTATTTTAATTAGTATATAAAGATGAATATACATAAATTTAATGAAGTTAGCATGCTTATGATGATTTTCACACCCTGTGTTTGTAATAACCATAAGTCAAGACGTCGATGGTGTACACGCAGCACAATCCTCATCCATCAAGAAAAAGACGAAAGCATCATGAAGGAGTCGACTAGGATGCGTTTGGTTACCTGCATTGTTTTTTGCCTCTTGGCATACTTGTTCCAGCTGGACCTGGTTGAGCATATGCAGGCAAAAAATCATCATTCGCAAGTTGATTGGTTGCATGCATCCCCTCTCTCTGCATCATAGCAACGCCTCTACGCATTGTGTTTGGCTGATCACATTAGATGTGCTCATACTAGTGTACGTTGTTTACATGCATACACTGAACACACTTAGTTAATAGCTACACATAACACACAGAGTTACACAGTGCCATGGCAATTGCGGGGGACGGTGGTGGCGAGAAAGCGGTTCAGCGGCATCGGGTTCACGCTCGGCTGCGGTTGCAAGAACCCCAAGGCCGTGGCGGCCGATGGCCTCCTTGTCGCCGCGCTCCGGCATGGAGGCGTCGGCGGCAACCACGACCACTGTTGGAAATATGAGCAATTTACCGAATAATTTTGTTAACGGAAATACTAAATAAAGCATGACTAGTATAGCAGAGATAAAGCAACTCATGCAATCTGACAGAGAGAAGGTGAATAGCATATGCAAATATGAACTATAACCAAACATATCTAGAGTAGACAGTAAAGCACGTTGCATATATGAAGTAGAACCTAACATATCTAGGACAGATGCTAGAACAAGGAACTGTGGCAGGATCTCTAACAGAAAGAGGAAGAACACGTATGTGACAGCAGCGGGAGAAGCACTGGACTTGGGGTAGGTTTCCTCGCCAGCCATGTCATCGAGAAGGTTGTTGACGTCAGGGAAGTAGTCGTTGTCGGGGAAGTAGTCGTCGGAGTTCGGGGCGTCTGTGACGAAGAAGTCAGTAGTCGCGCGGAGCGCTCCCAAAAACCTTATCACCCTTCTCCCGTACAACATTCAAACATGTGCTGTTTCGGAGGCCTATTGTCCCGACCTGCGGTGCACGCTGCAACCGGGATGGGGAAGAATGTAGCAGCAGCACTGTGCTCGGGAACTTGGTGGTGAGAGAGAGATGGTCTTTCTGATGTGCCTCTCTGTAGAGGAGCAACCTCTCTTATATAGGCACAGGAGAAGGAGGCGAACAGGCTGCGACGGGAGGTGAAGCAACAGAGGAAGACGAAGCGAACAGGCAGCAGGCGAAGATGTGCGTCGTTCGGATTCAATCTCCACTACGGCAAAAACGTTTCACCGCAGGCGAGATCTATTTGAGTGGTCGCTGGCGTTCCTCGTGGGGCTTCTCTTCGACGTCATCGTGTCGCTCATCAACCTCGTCATCAAGCACGACGAGATCTATCGAGAAACGGCGGAGACTGAGAGGTAGCACGCGCCATGGTGTCCATGACGCTGGAGGACGAGCAGGGGCTGAATGGCACCGAAGCGCTCGTCAACGCAGCCGCCGGCGTCCAAATGGTCGACTGTGTGTGACGAATTTGATAAAATTCGTCCAAAATAGCTTCAAACATGAACACAAGATTGAACACTCACAGTCGACAAAACTACAAACTGATCACAAAAAAAAAATTCATAATATTGATGTGCATCTTTTTCGTGTGAAGCTTACCTCGAATTAAAGCACCGCTGTGTAGATTAGAAGGGATGGAATAAAGAAGATTAGGGAATGAGGTTAATGAAGGTGGAAGAAGAAGCAAAGTACATGGTGTATACTAGGCCGGCCGCATCCTCTTGTGCAAGAGGATCCACCACGTGAGCTTGAGGTGGTTCGACCCAGCCTTGCTCGCTGAAAAACTGCAGATTCGACCGTTTCTAACTGGCCTACTTGGGGAGTGCTTTAAGTTTCGTGCAGGCCAACATTTAAATGCGGCCCAACCAATCAAACGGGCCAAAAAATTTCCTCGCAGGCTTGGTTGGGCGTCAAGAGTATAGAGGGATCATGAGTTCATGTCAACTATCGAGCAACTTCAAAGGGAAAAACAGGCGTGCTAGCACGTCGAACGAGCAGTACATTCCGAGAGAATAGCACACTCTTCCTGCGGATCGTCGTACGTGTGCCAGGCACTTACGTGTAACTCAGCTAGCCGACGTACGTCAATGACCGGCAAGCGGGCTATGCAGATCGGTCGTCGTAATTTCCGGCACATGTTGCTACTATGCAAGTCGGCTGGGGAGCGTCGCGTCCTACCAGTATAATTTGAGTGGACGATGAATATGGTATTGATGGCATGTACGTATACCCATCCTAGAAATTTCTTATACGAGTGTACTAATAATGAAATCCTCCAGACAGCGTGGCACACGCGCTCGCGCGTTCCTGGAATGAACGGGCAGCTCTCTGTGAGTACGAGCGAAGCCATTGTATACTTGGAGAAGACGACCGACGGACCAACCATGTTAAGTAAGCCGAATCTGGTAAGCTTGGACCCACCGTTTGTTTGTCTGGATAGAGTCTGGTTCGCCAAGCGCTTTTTATTCTTCGGGACCAAGACTTTCTGTCTTGACTCTTGACCTGTGAGATGGACGCGTATTCCCTAAACCAGCGCTTGATCCACTCATCCATTCACACACAGGCGCCGGCCTCGACAAGAAGCTTCATCTGTTTTTTTTAACTTTGGTGGACCCTTCTTGTGAGCTTCGTCTGTTTTTTTAAATGACACCGTCACCGTGAGCTTAGCTTCCGTGCCGTTTCGCGGGCCGCCGGCGGTATGAATGAATCAATGAAGCCAGCGCAGCGCAGACGCACGTACTTCCTTCGTCCAAAAATACATGTTATCAAGATGAATAAAAAAGGATATATTTAGATGTATTTTAGTTCTAAATATATCTATTTTGATGATAATTATTTTCAAACCGAGGGAGTACTCCGTATAGATAGCCGAGTCGCCCGCCGATCGCGACGCCAACACCGGAACCCTGACGGATCGAGCATGTGAGACCACCTGGGCTGCTAGCAGGCCCGTGTCTTGGCATGTGCAGCTGGAGCGGTTGCACAGGGCCTCCAAATTCTACAGGGCCCCAAATTAGAGATTAGTATTATTACTGGTCAAGAGATTAGGTACTAATGGGCCTTTAAGAGCAACATAAATGAAAAGGACTCACCCTAAAATCCAAGGACTACATCGGAAACCCTTCAGGCCAATCTCAGGTATCTTTCTCTCTCCCTCCCTCCCTCTGCATGTGATGCCATATATGGTCTCCAGCCTTTCACCCCTCTAAATAGGTTTGACTCTGATAATATTTTAATTTATATTTTTTAAATAAAGGCCCTAATTTTCATTTTGCACGGGGCCCCGAATTTTAAAGGTACGGCCCTGGCTGCTAGCGACCGACCCAGCTACTCGTCTGCCTGCCCCTCCCTCCACCCTCCCGTATATAAATGCCCAACCAAGCAGACATGCTCCACAACTCAACAACCTCCGGTTTCTTCTGAAATCTAAACCCAGTCGTGCCTAGCTAGCTCCTTCCCGCTTCCAGTGGTCGATCGCATCCCACAGGCTACAGTTTCCTCAGCTCCACAGGTTCCCTGTTCTTCACTTGTACGCACGTCCATGACGAAGCACCAGCGAGCTGCAGCACACCAGGCCGTGTCACTCTCCCTCTCGCTCTCCCTCGGCGCCGTCGCCGGCCTCAACAAGAAGATGCGCCGCGCTGCCGCCGCAGCCGGTGGGGATCAGTTCGTGTGCAAGACGTGCGGCCGCTCGTTCCCGTCGTTCCAGGCGCTCGGCGGCCACCGGACCAGCCACCTCCGCGGCCGCCACGGGCTCGCGCTCGCCCTCACCACCGGCGATCACTACTACTCCGTCAAGCCCAAGAGTACAGCCGATCACAAGTCTCAGCACCGGTGCCACATCTGCGGCCAAGGGTTCGAGACGGGGCAGGCGCTCGGCGGCCACATGCGCCGGCACCGTGACGAGGCGGCGGAGGCGCCGCCCGTTCTGCTCGAGCTCTTTGTCTAGACTCATCTCAGTAGTTCTAGTGCAGAGTTCCTGACATGCATATGCGTGCACACTCGTAGCCGTAGGTGTTGATTATTGGTTCCTTCATTCCTTTATATGTGTATATATGCATATAAGTATGATGACTTCTTCGGTGATTATATACATTAGTTCGTTCGTTTATGTTGTATCGCGCACCCACAGGGCCACATGGTCGTGCTGAAACGGGATGCAGTATGAATGAATCTTGTTGGAGTGGTGTGGAATGATCTATTCACGATGAGGATAAACTTCAAGAAATATAAATGTTTTTTACAATCTTATACAGTGATTAGCAGATTCATTTACTGGCTTACATTAACGAGTGACTTATAAATAGTACTCCCTCTGTCCTTCGTCCCAAAATGTAAGACCATTTTTGACACTATCATAGTGTAAAAAATGATCTTACATTTTGAGACGGAGAAAGTAGTTTGATGGTCATATATGAAATAGGAAAACCATAATTTATTTTTGATGGCCATTTACTCATCATCCGGAAGCCTTATCTCCCATCATACCTTTTTGCTGCCAGATACCGCAGTTGAATCCGCCAGCTACCTTAAGCGTAAGGGATTCCTCTTGAAGGTCATAAGGGGAAAGCAAACAAGAAAAAAAAACACCCCCTTCCATGTTGCTCCCGCGCGGGAGCGACTA